TTTCTTTTCTTTTTTCTTTTCCTTTTTTTTTTTTGGTACCCAGGATCAAACTCAGGATCTTGAGCTTGCAAGGCAGGCGGGAGAACCACTGAGCTAAATCCCTGGCCCCCAAAGGGTTTTCACATAAAATATAAAACAATAATTCAGAATCCTATAGTGATGAAAAAAAGATCAGGCTGCTGAAAATAATGGAACAAATCAGGACTCATCAATTAACTTGCTGATTCTTCAGGGGCAAAATGCAAATTATCAGTGAGACAGTAGAATGAGGTCACCATAACCCACTGGGAGGGATGTTCTTCTCTTCAACCAAACATTCAGGTTGCCAGATGTGGTGGCACACACTTGTGATCCCAGCACTCGGGAGACTGAAGCAGGAGGATCACTGAGTTCGAGGCCATACTGAGCTACTAGTGAGTTCAAGACCAGTCCGAACTACAAACAGAGACTCTGTCTCAAAAAAATTTTTAAATCAACTCAGCATTCGGTTCATGAATCTATCACAGGCTGAACTAGCCTCGGCCAATCCTGAAAGCTTTATACAGGACAAGAGGCAAAGCATGCCAGCAGGGGAGAGTAGAGTCAGGCTGTTTCCAGGAGCCTTGGCAGAGGGCCATGCAGCAGCCGTGCTCTTTGCGCCTCTGTAAAACAAAACTGCACTGGAAACATGTTTAAAATGGCAGGGGAGGCCTGGGGATTTAGCTCAGTGGTTCCACCACTTGCCTTGCAAGTGCAAGGACCAGTGTTCAATCCCTGGTACAAAAATAAATAAATAAATAAATACAATGGCAGGGGAGACTTTACTCAAGACCGCTGTGATGACAACACAATATAATCCCTCGGGTTCCACAGGTGTGCAGATTTTTCCCTTCCGAGGTGAGTAAAGGGAATGTGAGAATTTCATTGAGGACACTGCCTGTGCATCTCTGCTTGTAAATTGCCCCTTATCAGGGTTAGGCTCTTACCCTCCCAAGGAAACTGAGAGATGCAGGGCCATCTTTCTTGATGATTACCTTTCAAAGATGGCTCTTAGGTCTTTAAAGCAGACATTCTGAGAAGTAGATTTATAGCTCAAAGAACAATGCAACTTTTGTGAAGTAAATGCTCTAGGGGAGGTCAGGGGCCCGAGGCCAAGGGAAACCTGTCTGAAGTTTAGTCAAGTGGAGGGCAATGTTAGGCCATCTTGGTCATCCGCAGATACGGCCAGGTACAAGAGAATGCACCCAGCAAGGTGAACTGCACACTCCCTTGCCTATCTCCTGCCCCACAGGAGCCTGTATTTCAAGAAACAATTCTATTAGTCTGGAAAGGAACATGTCCACCCACAATACAGTAACTGCTATCAGGACTTTCAGGGAGGTCCAGAACTATAGCTCCCATTGTATCTTTATAATTCTTCCAGACCAGATAAGACTTACCAAGAGAAGGTCACTATCATAAGCATTGCTCCTCCGCAATTATTTTACCTTTGTAGAGTTGCTGGGGTGTAAAAAACAGAAATTTAATTGGAAGTCAAATTCTCATGCAGAAGAGAAATGTTTCTGTCATATTCCACTCTTACTAGATATGATAAGATGCTTTTGGTGTGATTTGTTTGTTTGTTTGTTGTTTGTCATTTGTTTTGGGAAGGTTTGTGTGTGTGTTTTGATACCAGAAATCGAACTCAGGACCTTGGGCTCATCAGACAGGTGCAGCACCACTGAGCTACATCCCTGACCCGAGAGTTTTATATTTTAAGTCTTTTTGATTTTGCTCTGAAAGTCTCTGTCTTCCAAAAACACAAACACACATGAAAATACACGTCCACATGAAGACTCATACACACACACACACACAAACACACACACATGCACACTTGCCCATTCAATCTCTGACTTGTCCTCCCGCACTCAAATTACCAAAAAATCCTTCTTAGTAAAAGCTTTCTTCAGTTTCACTATTTTGCAATTCTACTAAGATAAATGAGTGTGTAAATATATGTCACTTCTGTTGTCAAAGTTGGCAGTGAAAGTCCAGTGATAGGAATTTCTTTCCAAAATAATTTGACAAAAATTGTTATAAAAGGTATATACCTGGGCAATAAAATAGAATGAAAAATCAAAACCAAGAGAAAATAAATTTAAATGTTTTAAACATGAGGATTAATATAATTGATAAAGAAACCTCAGATTTAATTCTGAGTCTCCTATAGACAGATTTTAAAAGACACATGTATCTTGAGTGTACATTAAAAGAAAGCAATAAAATAGGTTTTTCTTTGGAAAAAAGGTTTTGCTTCATTTGTTTTGTTGAGGGAATGTTTTTGCTTAAAAAATAAAATAAATGCCTTTTACCTCTAAGTTTTATATTGAGAATGTTATAACAGAAAGTGTTAGCATACAGTTTTCAAAATGCCAGTAGAAATAGAAAAAGATATTGCTCAGTTGTTTCTTGAAACTATTTGAATAGATCAAACAATGAATGAAGACGCAAATTAGTTGAAATGATTGTATAAAAGGCTAAGTGAATATTGTCCTCTTATACAGCCCATTTCATGCCTAAATTGGGCCTAGAACAGGATCAAAAGCACCAATAAGAGATGAATGCTACCTTTGTTTAAACCCTCTCCTACGCGGGATTCGTCTCCATGAAGGGAAGCGTAGATGATGTGGCACTGTGTGTGTGGATCAGGGAGGGATGAGCGCAGTACCGATGCTCACTGGACACAAAGAGGGCAACTGCTGGGGCTCACATGGTTTTTCTGATGTATGAAGCTGCAGGCCAGGAGTAACTCCACATATGAACAAGTTCTTCCTTTGGAAAAATCCTTGACCCTAATTCAGTATTTGATCAACACAGTGTTCAAATGAGCTCCCAAACACCAGCTTCATGGATCAAGAGAAATACTTTAACAAAGAATAGTTTTGATTTGGGGAAGTCACCAGCCATGATCCCATAGGTGGAGATAAATTTCAACACTTCCCCCGCGGCACCTATCTCTAATCTCCATGACTTCAGATCATGCAAGCCAAAATTTATTAAAACTAAAATGCATTCTCTGATCAAAAAATTAGCTTCCTTGTAAGGTAGAGTTATTCATTACTGACTTTTCAGATTTTGAAGAAACCTACTACAGAAAATGTTGCTTGTTTGTGGGATTTCGTTTTTAATTAATGTCACAGGATTCTTTTATGGCAGAATTTGGATGACAAGGCCAATTACATTTTAATTTTACTTTTGGCTTATGCTGATAAACAATATTGCCAGGATAAATTTCCTACTCTGAATTCTTCATGGACTGCGGACATAAATTGAGTTCAGCTAATATTACCAAACTATAAAGTTATAAAATAAAATTAAAGGTCAATAATAAAGCTGAGGGTCATTCTTCCTTGCCCTAATCATTGTAATGTTATTTTTAAAGTATACATTTATAGGACACAACAATATCAAGAACATGTATTAAGGCCACAGATCTTACATTACAGTTAATATTGACAGTGCCAAACTGAGTTTTAAAAAAGTTGTCCTTTTCTTGTTACATGAGCTACTCAATTGGAACACAAAGAAATTATTTTGCATTAAAACATAGATCACAATCACTCAGAAAGAAAGCTAATTTTGTCTCTTGGACCAGGGAAAATAAATAAAAAAATTATGTAGGAAAAAAGGCCTGGATTAGTCACAGCTGATCTCCTTCTATAGTGAATTTAATTTATTCAGCAATGCAATTCTCAGAAACCCTTTGAAAATAGCTACTTTCAACAAAATACAGCCCTATGTTTTATTAACATAGTTATCTAACTTTAAAAGGGTAACAAAATCATTATCTTTTGAGTAAAACTGAGAAAAATACATACAAAATATAAGAGGCTTACCCATACAAAAGATAAGGAATCTTCACTTTCATTTGTATTAATGATTCCATCAGTCAGTGAAGGGATATCTGGTTGATATGTTGATATTCCCATCTCTAATGTTTTGAAAGCCTGTACTGCACAGTAATCGTTCTGCATTGAGACTATATATGTAATGTGTTCTGCATGAAGAGAAACTCTCACTGTGCTTTGAACAAGGGACTGTGGCTCACTCCTTTCCCCCTCACTCCTTGCATCATGACTAACTTTAACAGGAGACATACGGTTTGAGAGGCATTTAGGAACCTATGTACTTGTCTTCTGGATGTTTGTTGAGTGCCTACCACATGTCACTTGCTCTACTACTGGCTAGGGACAAAGCAATGAATAAGACAGATGTGAGTCTGCACAGATCTTAGAATCTTGTGAAATAAAAGAACAAATTCTACATAAACCTAACAAGGTGGTAAAGCTACATATAGGGAAGCTGTAGGTGCCTTGGGAAGAGGAACCAGGTTCCAGGGAAGGTGAAAAGGGAGATGCTCTGAGATTGGATGAGCTGCAGTTATTAAATTATGCTATGGTCTCAATTTATGTGAAAATCCCAGATCCTAAGGAAAGATGTAAATTCTTTTGTCAGTTTATGCATCCAATGCCCCATCCTATAGACATATCTTAGCATAAATAATAAGGAGCAAGGTCAATGGACTCTTATCCAGAGATTTAGATCTCCCAAAGGCTCTTCACACTTGAAATATTTATTTTTGTTTCAGTTTAACCTCAGTTCTTGACTCTATCTACAAAAAGGAAATCCTTAGGTGTTGTTTGTGATTACTGATTACTGACACCTTTTTATATTACATTTTTCTTACCAACCTCTTTCCTCAAGGAAGTTGATGCACAGAAATCCATACCTTCACTTTAAAGGAGCAGCTCAATGCTCTTACTACAAATCAAGGGACTCATAAAACTGTATCTTTACCTTCATATTTGCTTTATTAACCTCTAAATGGCATGTAGTCTTTCATTATGAATATAGCAATACACCACAGAAATATCATAATACATGTGACTTTACAACTAATAGAAACCAAAGATACTTTCATAGGTTCTTGTTGCATATACATCAAAGATTGGTATTTTCTCCTGTTATTAGAAATTACAATGCTCACTTCAGCAGCACATATACTAAAACTGGAACAGTACAGAGAAGATTAACATGGCCCCTGTGCAGGGATGACATGACAATTTGTGAAGCGTTCCTATTTCTGGAGGAAGAACCAACATAGTGAAAATGGCCATACTTCCAAAACTGCTATACAGACTCAATGTAATCTCTATTGAAATTCCAACAGTGTATTTCAAACTAGAGGAAACAATCCAAAAATTCATTTGGAACCAGAAGAGGCCTAGAATAGCAAAAGCCATTCTAGGCAACAGAGACATGAGACGGGGTATCACAATCCCTACAACTTGAAACTATACTACAAAGGCACTGTGATAAAAACATCATGGTAGACAAAGAGACAGACCTGAGGATCAGTGGAATCGATTAGAAGATGCAGAAACAAATCCAGACATACTCAGCTACCTCATTTTTAACAAAGGAGCCATCATCCATCTCACTGGAAGAAAGATAGCCTCTTTAATAAATGATGTTGGAAAAACTGGATTTCAACCTGCTAGATCCCTATCTTTCACCATGCACTAAACTAAAATCCAAGTGGATTAAAGATCTAAATATTAAAATAGAAACATTAAACTTGTTGGAATATAAGCTGGTGGAACTCTCGAAGACACTGGCATAGGAAAAGACTTTATGAAGAAATCCTCAGCAGCACAAGAACTTGCACAAAGAATCAACAACTGAGATATTGTATTAAAAAGTTTTTTGCAATGCAAGAGAAACCACTAACAGAGCTAAGAGACAACCTACAATGTGGGAAAATATTTTTACCAGCTGTTCCTCAGACAAAGGACTATTATCTAGAATATATAAATAACTTAAAAAAATCAGACCCCTCAAATACAAAGACCCAAATTCAAAAATGGGCATCTAAAATGAACAGACATTTCTCAGACAAAGTAGTAAAAGCAGCAAATTAATATATAAAAAAATGTTCCACATCACTGGTAATTTGAGAGATGCAGATGAAAACAACACGAAGATTCCACCTCACCCACAAAGAATGGATGCTAACAAGAAATCAACCAATAACTAATGCTGGTGGGGATGTGGTGAGAAAGGAACCCTTCTCCATTGTTGGTGGGAGTGCAGAATGGTGCAACCACTGTGGAAATCAAGATGGAGAAACCTCAAAGAACTAGGATTAGAGGTTGCATTTGACCCAGCCATCCCTCTGCCAGGTATCTTTCCAAAAGAATTAAAAGAATCATATCACAGTGATATATGCGCACCCATGTTTATAGCAGCACAGTTTGTAATAGCTTAAACTTGGAAACAACACAATTGCCCATCAACTGGAGACTAGATAAAGAAAATGTGGTTCTTTTATAAAATGGAGTGCTCCTCAGCCATAAAAAATGAGAAGGTAGGGATATTTATAACTAAGTGGATGCACATTAAGGACATACTCTTAAGTGAAATAAATGACACACATGTGCAAATACCAAATAATTTCTCTGGCATAATAATCTAAAAGTGTAGATAGGATCAAAAGGTATAATTGATATTTTGAAATAGGAAGAAAAGGTCCAAAGATATTGGGCAAATGGGAGGGGTAGGGAAAAGGTGAAAAGGAAAAAATGATAACAAAGCCTTTGTAAATAGGGAGGGAGGCAGGAAGGGAGGCTAGGGGAATGGGGAAAAAATAAGAACCAAGATCTGTCATGTGAAGGTACAAGATCCCAATGATGAATGTAACTATTGTATATCTAAAATGTACCAATAAAAATACTTTTTTAAAAAAAGAAATTGCAGTGACCATTAGATCTGCCACTATATCATATGTGATTGTGATCTTCCTACTTACAGTCACTCATAAATGGCCAACTCCTTGACATATAACAGTCATTCTGTCACCAAAGAGTGATAAATTTTACTCCAATGGACTAAATATATGTGTTTCCCTGGTATTCTCTACTACAATTATTTATTGAGACATAATCTTTATAATTGATTTAAATTTCCCCAAACTAGCCAGCTCCAAGATTTCTTAAATTCCTAAAAAATGCATTCTTTTGCGATTATATATAAAAGTACATCAATAACCTGGTTGCTTAGATTTAGGGGAGAGTGGTTAAGAGGTAACAGCTAATAGGTACAGTGTTTTGATTTGAGATTTTAAAAATGACCTAAGTTTGATTGTGGTTATAGTTGTACAGCTCTGTCAATGTGGTAAAATCAATTGAATCTTGCATTTTAAGTCTGAAAATTATGTGAAATGCAAATTTTAGTTCAATAAAGTTGTTTTATTTTTAAACAGTGTATCAATAACTTTGACCCTGATAGATCATCATACCACAGCAATATAAGTGCAACCATGTTTATAGCGGCAGTTTGTAATAGCTAAAACGTGGAAACAGCCCACCTGCGCATCAACTTGGCCTAGATAAAGAAGATGTGGGGCTTTTTTATAAATGGAGCACTGCTCAGCCATAAACAATGAGATATTAGAGGCATTTAGAGCTACATGGATGCACAGTGAGGCCATGCTCTTAAGTGAAATAAATAGGACACAAGTGCATACATACCAAACAGTTTCCCCAGTGTGAGAGTGTGAGAATCAAAACATATAATACACAATATGAAATAGAAAGAAAAGGTCCAAAGGGGAAGAGGCAAGGGTAGAGGAAAAAAAAGAAAAGAAAGGAAAAAATATGAGAAAAGAAAAAAAACAGAAACAAAATCTTTGTAAATAGGGAGGAGTAGAGGTGTTGAAAGGAGGTCAGGGAAATGGGCAAAAAGTAAGAACCAAGATATATCATGTGCAGATACAAATTCCTAGTGATGAATGTCATGTTGTATACTAAAATGTCCCAAGACACTCAATGAATTAAAGAAAAACAATTCTCAACATTAACTTGCCTACATTTAAAATTGTATTTGTTAATTCAAAAGCCATAAGAAAAATACCATAATCTAGGTGGATTATACACAACAGAAATTTATTGCTCACACCTTTTGAGGCTGGAAAGTCCATAATCAAGATACTAGCAGGTTTGAGATCTGGTGAGGGCTTTCTGTGGGTCTTAAACGATACCTTCTCATTGCACCCTCAAGTGGTAGAAGGAGTTAACTAAATCCTTGGAGTATTTTTTTTTTTTTTAAGAGCAGGAAAAATTTATTGAGGGAAGGAAAGCTTCTGTCTAACAGAGACAGAAGGGGGACCAGAAAGCAGGTTGCCCGCTCACCCTAATTTTCAAAGATGTTTTATACAGCAAAGCCATGTACTGAGGCAGGTACAAAGTAGGACAAACTGTAAAACTCCTTGGGAGTCTTTCCCATTCATGGAGGTAGAAAGTTACAGGTTACAGCAGTTTCACACCCTTTTAATATGTACTATTTTCAAGTTTCCTACTTTTAACTGTTCTGTAGTATAGTAGCATCTCATTGATGTTTTTAAAATATTTTATATAAAAATTCTATGACAGAGGTTAACAAACCAAGTCATCCTTTGAGTGTCTCTTTTCTGTGTGACCATCTGCGGTCTTTAATATTTTCTCTTGTGATTCAAATCTAATTTTGTACTGATTTCACCAGCGAAGATACAGGTAGCTATTTTCTCATTTATCCTGAGCATTTCACTTTTGTAGTGTGTGGAGGTGAAAACAAGTGTTTTGGTAACAATATATCGATTCCTACTGAGTATTAAATTAAAAATCAAATGCTTGGAATGCTATATAGGTCTAGAAAATATTTTTATTCAAATATATATACATATAAAGATCCATAAATACACCACTCAAAAATCATTTTTGACATGTACAAAAAAAGGAAGGGGAGATGGATAGACGGGGGAAGGAGGGGAGGGAAAGGAATGTAAGAAAGGAATTAAGATGTATTATGTACATGTGCCAACTCCTCAAGAGGAACAGAAGCGTCACAGGATACCAGCATGTACTAATAAAAAAGAAGTTAACATACCAGTTTTCTGAAGAACATGTTTTAATTACAAACAGCCCTCCACCAACAAAATATTTTCATTAAATATATGCATACTTACATGAAAACTAAGACCATTTTCTATTTTGTGTAACTGAAAAAGAGGAAAGTCTAAATTATAGAGTTTCTATCTACCACACTCTGTAAGATATCGTTGATAAACTCACAGGATACCAGATCCCCAGGATGTCACAGGCAGCAAGACAAAGCAGACAAATGAAGAGGGGTTAGTAAAGCAGTCTGATAAGAATTTAAGGGAACCACAGAAGATGGTGCTAATCATGTTCCAGTAGGTTTGGCAACTAAGCTCTAAGTTTCAGACCTAAAGAAAAAGTAAACTGTAGATAGACAAATGCAGAGAGATATGAAAATCAAGGACACAAGCAACAGCTTGTTACAAGGCCTGAATACATGGTAGCCTGTTCATCTCCTTTCCATTCAACCACCACCGTCACCAACTCTTAAGGAACTGGCGTGAATGAAGTAAACAGTACAGATCCAGAGATATCGCAAGTGCAGCTGAGGTCAAAGGTTATAGAGATCTGGCTTGGGGCTGCTGTTGGCTGCAAATGGAGAGACTAAACAGTACTTCAGGCTGTGTACACAGGCACATCACTCGTTGTTTCTGGACACACATGATGTTGGGTGTTTCTGGACCCTCTAGTGCCATAGCCGAGCATGGACAAATGACCCAAATAGTGGCCGATGTGAGGATGATCTAGAGTGCTCAATGAAGTAGGGTGCAGTAGTACCTCCCTCATCAACAAAGCCAACCCGAATGAGGCTACCTCAAGGATTACAATTTGGTTTTCAGACAAGTCCAGGGGATGGTCTTCCTCCTCTTGCCCTCATTTTAGCACCTATAATCGGATCCCTCCTCGTGTTAGCAAATAGAATCCCCCGAAAATCAGCTACAACTTCAGGAAAAGGTGGCAAATCTGAAAGTTGACTGAAATAGAGTTCCAACTAACCAATGCACTGGGAGTTTGAATTAGAAGACAATTTATTCTGGCAGAAGGAAGAGTTATTTTAACTGCTTAGTAAGTTGGGGAAGCAAGACCCGCACTTTCTACGCTTTCGGTAATGTTTCTCCAAATGATTGTCAATCCATTTCTGGAGAGTGTTAGAGATCCTCTAGGCAGGTGT